TTCCTACAAAATTTGTTTCCTTTCTGTATGTTTCTGATAAAACATCATTTACTCTGAATGCTAATAAGAAAACACCATCTATCTATATTGCTTCCTGAAATTCAACTGCTTAAAGCTAAGCTACCCCAATTCTAACATTGGACCTACAATTACAATGTAAGGTCTCCTCCACATCACATATTACAAATCTGGCTTTACATTTTGCAAGATAAAAAACCCCAGAGAAATAACTCTCAAATTTTTTAACTTTTTGTTTTCTGAAATTTGGGTGTGCTGGCATGATTTTGCTGAAAGTTTACATTGGTACTGTTCTTGAAAGAAGAAATACAATTCTATTCAATTGATTCATAAGGAAATATCCAAAAATATTCACTTTGTCATAATCCTTTATTTCCTCAATGAGATAACTGTATATAGTAGATCCTTTTGAATATGTCATAGATATTTTTGGTTGGATTTTTTTTAATCAAGTATGTAACCTATTTTTCCCTGCTGAAATCTACGACTCTGGCAGTCATATCTTTGTAGGAAAAGAATTGTTTTAGACTAACTGTTCATTGCTTCCTCAAGCCTTCTCCTCCCCTTTACAAAAATTAACTTGTCAAAAAGCAAAAGGATGGAAGGGGAATGACACTTCACAGTTTTTTCCTTAATAAATATCTCAAGAAAGAACAAGCAGAATCAGGCAGTGTTAAAAATGCCACAGAGCTGTTTGTGAGGCAACAGAGGAAGAGTTCCCAATTTTCCTCAGGTTCCTGTTGAAGCCAGTGGTTCACTAGTCTTGTTTATAGCTGGTCTGTGTGCTGATGAAAACTGTGTAATACTGAAATAACACAGGTTTTATACCAGACTCCAAATATCATAACAGGCTAAGGCAGGATTATAAAATCTCACCTTTTTAAAAATTCTTTTTAGTATTTCACCGTTTCAGACTAATCTTTCCTCTACCTTCTTTATCTTCTGTTCACCTACAAAGAATAATCTCCGAAATTTCTTTTAAGAGAGAGTTTGGGCAGCATGCATGTTTCTGAGACAAATTCTAGCGGTGACATTTTATAATAATGAAAAGTAAATTCCAGTCCCACCAATGTTTTATACTTTTTAAACAGACTGATTATGTATTTATCTTAAAGGATTTCAGAACCTTTTTTCTTGTATTACTAAGTGTCAAAATTGGAACATTTCCAATCTCACTAAGCTATTGCCCTAAGGAATTACAATAAGTCATAGTCAAAAACTAGCATAAGAACAAAGGTCCCTACTGACAGAGGAGTTACCAGTAAATTGGGGTGGTTAGAAATATTCTAAAGACACACTCCATGAGTCTGTTTTTATAAAGCAGAAAGTATCTTCAAGATGGCAAAACCTGGCATGCAAGTTTTTTTAAGATTAGCATTGTTTCCCTATGATATTGCTGGAAAGTATGCCAATAGATTATGCAGTAGAAACCCACCTTCAGCACCTCAGAACTGCCAAAATTTTGTCTGGCTTCTAGTACCAGTGGAAGTACTTGGAATTCCAAAAGGGCATATCATTTTGGTGGAGGATTTATTTGTAGGGTAAAATGTGGTGAACCAAACCAAACTAAGACAGAAACGTTATGAGCATGAGAATTTTTTTGATGACAAGCTTTTCTGATGTAAATAGGGTTTAAATAGTCAGCGTAAATTGTCTTATAACCAAACTGCTATAGACTGCAACAGTCTGGCAAAATCTCCTCTCCTGAGGTGGGATTACAGGGACCAGGCATGAATTGGCATGAAGTATCCATTATATCTGGATGCTGACAATTAAATAAATGTAAAAAGGGCTTTGTTTTTAAAATTGTGTGGTCCACAGAATAGACTCTCATCACAAATGATCAAACATCGAAATTTAAAACGATTTTATAATATGGTGAATAAGACAATACTTTTTAGTGCCTTTCAAACAACTTTAGGTTTCTGGCTCTGTAATACCCCACTACTAACCAAAGCCTAGTTTACGTGTACTCATCCTACAATTAAAGGATTTTTTTCCTTCATCTTTTTGCTAAGCATCTATTTTTACCTACCATGCAAACAAAATCAAGCTACTCTGAAAAGTAAGTTAAAATGTAAGGAAAAGTATGAGGATAGTACAAAAGATCAAGGGTACAAACAGAACAGAAACTGGCTCTTGCACAAAGTACGGCTGTCAAATTTAAATATCAGGTTTGAATCTAGAGTTTCTAAATTAGGACACTCAATTTTTCTCTTCTTCTTTCACTAAAGGAGTTAAGGCTAACAAAACGTTCTCTGTTCATACTGGGAAGACTAAGCAGGCATCACTGCTCTTTGGCATTTCAAAACCAGGACTTGAAATGGCTGCCAACTTCTCTTATTTTTCCACTGCCTAACAATTCCTGTATTAAAAGCAAGCACACCCCCACAGCCTTGTTTTTGTAGCTGTAATTTAGAAAAAATTGATATTTTTGACTCAAAAAAAATACTCTTAAAAAATGTCCAGAAATTATGCTGTAAAATATTCAGATTATATATAATATTGTAAAGATAAGGAAATGGAGAGGATACATATAAAGAAGCTCCTTCAAGTGACAACAAAGTATACAATCCAGGCTGTATTACTTGTGCCTTTAATTTAAACTTATTCTGATTCTTTTTCTTAATTGTTTATCATAACTGAGATAATTTATCAGCACATCATGTTACAACTGTGTTCTGGTCAATAATCTTCAATTATATTAGTAGTATGTGGGAAACGTGTTTTCCCAGAGAAAAGAGAGGGAAGTCTGTAAAACGACTTAGTTGATCAATTCAAATTTTAAACTAGAGCTCTCTTTCATTTATGTATGAAAGGAAAAAGAGAAAAATCACCTACTAGGCTAACTTCAGCCAACATTTTCTTTTTACAGAAATTAAAACTGTAGACCACACAAGAGGGTTGATCTCTAATAGAAACGTGTTTGTCACTTAAAAAATGTACAGATAACAAAAAGAATGGTCTGATTGCAGTACAGGATTTACCTACAAACATGATGGCCATATGGCCATGCTATTTTCTAGATGTTTTATAGATTGATGTAGTTAAACACTGACAGATAGGTAGAATATGCTTGACTGCTTTGGACGCTACAGAAATAATTTGAACATATGACAACATTTTATCCACATACAGCTCCTCAAAAAAAAAAACAAAAAACCTCCACCCTGATTTTTAAAATAAACCAGAATGATGACGACATAATACAGAAAAAACTTGAGATGACTTTCTGCAAGTGAGGTGATCCTGTTAGTCCTGCAGGTTATTGATGAATAATAGTATAGAATAAGTTCATAGAAGTATAGAAGAAGTTCATGTTACTGCCATAAGGGATCACCAAAAAGTAAGAAGGATGGGTATCTCCTAAACACTAGCAAATGGAATTCATGGATTGGACAAGACACTAAGCTAGCTCTAAAAATAAAGAAAAGCTCCCAACCACAAGTAAATGCCATTCAAGTGATCATGCAAGTGCTCAAGAGCTCCTGGTTAAACTTCATTCTCATAGGAATTCTCATAATACTTTTTTTTTTAATAGGTAAAATAACTACATATTCATAAGCCTATTTCAATTAATTACATTTCCAATAAAAAAACCCATTTGTATAGGTAATTTCTTGCAATGAATTATAGTACTAGAGATTGGTTAAATATACTCCTTACATGCAATAACTTCCTGGAAGTATAGGGGGAAAAGTGCTTTTCCCAATTAATAATAGAAATAATTGTTAGGGAAACCTGGGTGAGTGGAATATAAAAATATCATGAGAAAAATATATTTTACGTTAAACTTAAAATGCTGGAATGAAGAATTATTTTGTAATATTATTTTAATTAATGAGCTGCAGTTTTAAAATGTTCCATATTACAAAGTTAGAAGAATTTAGATAACCATCTAGAAGAATTCTTTAAAGTTGTTTGGCAAGGCAAGCCATAAAGTTAGTACAATACTCTCCCCACCCATGGCTCACAAAATATGTGATCAAGCCCAAATGAAATTTGCATGTCTAATGATTAGAAGTATGTATTTAACTTCACATTCCTTATTTTTCCCTGAAAAGAAAATTACTGACCATTTTCACAAATGCTGCTTGATACAGTGATGCTTGAATTGTCCTGTCACTAACACAAAAAGCCTCAGAACAAATACCAAAACCCAAAAAATGCCCCTTAAACCCCACAACAAAACACCCAGCAAACCAAAAGAAACAAAAAACACCCCATAAAAAAAACCCCAAAACAAACACAAAGGGAGAAACAAGGGAAACAGGCCGTGAAACAGAGGAGGAAGAAAAGACATTCCAAGAGCTTTTGGTCACTGCTTGTTTCAAACCAATATTTCAGAATTTAGCCTTCCTGCTAATAATTCCAGAACAAGTGAATAGTGTTATCCACAAGTAAGATAAGGCTGTTTCCTATTGAGGAAACAGAATTTGAACTTCCTCAGCCCTATTAAACTGCACCACCATTAATAAAGAGTAGAAGAACATGTACAGTGACATGCTAAAAAAATAAGGTAGACGGTGTTTCTGTCACATAAGTCCAACCCAGACTGTCTCCATTGTCCCAGCATTACATTATCTCCTCTTTAAGTTCAGCACGTCCTCTAAACCTGTTCACATACTACCCCTGCTGTAAGTTTGAGGAGAGAGTCAGAAAAAAATCCCTGCCACTATCATTTACATGCACTTTTGTAGATTAGCTATTATAATAAGGTATTTTATAACTATTCCTTACTAATACCATCAGAGGGTTAACTTTTGAGTGGACAATAACATTTTGTAAGAATCACCTTAGGCAGGCAGGAACCTTCAATCCTTACACCTGCATCCACTATGGAGCATATAAAACATCCTCACTTCAGAATTTTTTCATACAGAACATTTAGTACACAAAACTATTTCAAAAATATCTGAAAAGAAGTACTGCTTTTTACCCACTTTTAAAAAAATAATAAAACATTTCTGTTAGAATCTTACCTGTGCCTGCTGAACACCACCTATGCATTGCTTCTCTGTTTCTAGGACTGTAGATTTCAACTCTGAATTTGAAAAGAAGATACAGATTTTAAAATTCTAGAAATAAAAAAATGATTGATCTTTTAAAATACCCATTAAGAAATTCATGAAAGGAGTATAAAGTTAAAAAGAAAAGAACTGTACTGTCTCACTTTCCAAATTATCCCATAAATTACCTGTCCTTAAAATGGATGATTCTTGCCAACTATGTTTTCCTTTCTGTCACTACCACAGAAATTTGAAAACTCCACAGACACAGGTACTAATATAGATCTTAAAAATAGATCAAAACATAAGATACTCCATAACTAGATCCTATTTCTTATTTTAAAACCAGATTACTTTTCTGACCTTAAAGAACTACATTGTGTCTCAGTTGCCCAATAGGAAAAATCAGGAAAAGGAAAACAAACAAGCAAACAACTCCACAGCAGCTACAGAGTGCAAAGAACTTTAATCAGTTTAGGAGCTACAGCTAATGATGTCTCTTTACTCATAGCCCAGTTATTTACATATAACAAGAACAGAAGTATTTTTCTCTACACCTGCCCAGAGACTATATGTGTGGTGTCCTTCCTGTATGTTTAAAGGTACCACTATTCAACAGGGAAATCTCTTGACCATTTGCAGAAAGAGTGAAACAGCTGTGAATTTGAGCTTCTGGATTCATTTTTGGACACTTGGCCTCCTCACAGCTTTCTGACAATCACAACTGTTGGGAAGTGAGACATACAAGGAAGAAGTTTCATTGCAAATGTGAGTTATGTCACAAGGCTTGAAAATTTACAATCCACAACTTTTTTACCTGGCTGTGGATAAACTGCACCTAGCAATAAATAACTAATCATCTAGATTTTAGATTTTTCTGTGTTTGAGAGAAATGTTAGTATCTGTTTGATCTTTGCTCACAACAGATTTATTCTATGCTGATTTTCTAGTATTAGACATGCACCCACAACACTGTTTTCTGCCATTCAAATCAGCACAACTACCTCCCTTACATAAAAATGCTTAAGAAAATAGGACCAGACTGCTCCTATGTATTGGTCAATATTAAACAATTTGACAGAATTATCTAGCTTATTTTTACCTCAGAAATGTTATCCTTCTAAAAAGGATTCTAAATATAAGCTGAAGTCACGGTGATCTGAGCAGTTAATTTTAAGGTTAGTCAGACAAAATTTGGAAATAAAATCTACTTCCAGCAGAACAACCCTTTTTGTTAAGCAAAATGAAAAAAAAAAACCCAAATACTACCACCACAGTTGGAAAAAAAAAGATTCAGGAAAAGAGTGCTGTATGAGAAATGAAACCTTTCCTTTAAAGCAAATCAAACAATTTTTTTTTTTGTTTGGGTTTTTTTCTGGTTTTTTTAATATACTTTTTTTAAGAGACTAACTTAGATTTCAGGTAAACCCAGACTGATATTTAGTGGTCTGAGACTGTTTCATTTTGCAGAAGTTAGATAATCTTTGAATGTCTTCACAAGTGGTTAAACAGCCCCATGGGAGATGGGATGATTCGACTCTAGTGCCTGCTTACTTGCCTTTTCCTGTGTGTCGAGTAGTGTCATCAGCAAAGAATTAAAATAATTGAATTTCAAATATCCTGTTGAATTTAGATTCAGGCAATGTGCTGAGATGTGATAATGGTGGAGTGAAATGCCATAAGAAGAGACAGGAAGAGATTGGGTGTTCAAATAGAAAATTAGTCCCATACACATTGATCTTACTGTTGATGTTGGCCCATTTTGTCCAAAACCTTAACTGAATCCAGAACTGGAAAATGCATTTAGTATAAGTATTTGCTGACTTGAACCCAAATTCATATTAGATATTTCCAAATATCTGTTTTTAAATAAATAACCAACCTAAAAAAATCACCAAACAACAATAATTAACCTGACAAAACCCACTGCCCCAAAACCCCAAAAATTCCCAACTGCTCTAACAGCCCCTTTCACACCTCCAGCAATGCTTCACATGTTACAGAGCATACAGGAACACTATTAAATACAAACTACACTAAACAGATGATTAACTACCTACTACCTTTTCTAATGCTAATGTATACAATAAAAACAAAGGTTCTGTAAACACATCCTGCTGCATCCTCTCTCAATAAATGCTTTTGTCTAAAATGCATGTTTTTTTCAGGAGCTATTGCTTATAATGGTGGTCTCCTTAATCCAGACAGCAATAATTATATATAAAACAAAATACAGCTGCCCTGCACATAATAACTTAAACCTTTTTAAAAAATATTTGTCCCCTACACACTGCAAAGATGTAAATACACAAAATAATTTAGTTAAAAATTTTGAGGAAGGTGTTTATTCTCAGGTTTCACATCACTCACCTCCAGGTTCTTCCAAATGGCAAGCATGTGAACAATTAAAGAAAGTTAAATTATTAATCTGCCTGAGTTGTATTCAAAAGAATTATAACTTTTCCTTTTCCTCCATGTCCTACATTGAAAAATCACACCAAAATTTCAATAAATAAATCTTAATAACTACTTATATAAAACTTATAAAAACTCCCAATACATATTTTTTCACTTTATTTCTAGCTCTATTTCTTAATACTTTTGCAGGTTTTTTTTTTGAGAGGGCAGTAGCTGAGATAAGGAGCAGACAAGTCCTGTACATGTTACATCCATGTAGTAGGTGTAATAAACAGAAAAACATAGGATGAAAACAAATCACATACAAAATGAATACATTTAAAAATTATTACTATTGTCCTTTTGATAGAAATACACTTCTAAGTGTATCTTTAAATTTCAAAATATTTTATGTTATCAACATTCTTCTAAATTTTAGAGAAATTAAACTCTTGTTGACTTACACCATCCTCTGCTGGGCTAAAACCTCAAAATTATTTAATTTGAAATTCACCCTTTTGTTTTTCAAGTGCACAGCATGTCATAAATAGTGCAATCACACATCCATTAGCTAAGTCTCCCAGCTGAGAAACACAACTCTCAGAGTAGATGGCATTGAATTCTACTCCTACATATGGTAGCACTTCCATTGAATACAGCATAAAACAGGAGATCATTGGTTAAAACTTGGACTAGCTCAACAATCCAGCTCTGCAGAGTTCCACACTCTGAATTACATCAGTGAGATGGATGCAGAAATGTGTGCTTGATCTCCAATAGAATTCCTTTGGTAAAAGGCATAGCATTAAACAGAAAAATACAGCAGTATTCCATTTTTGTTGGCATCACTTGTTTTGCTTGAGAACAGTGAAAAAAGTGGTACCAGTAAAAGTAAAATGTTGCCATGGTAAAAGGTGTCTGTGCAAGAAATAGTTCAGGCATGTTCCAGAGGAAGTGGCAGAGAAGTCCCAAAGAGAAGTAAATCTGAAATTAACTCCACCCAAAGCCTACAAGTAATACAAAGAGATCTGTTGGAATAATGACTTAACTCTTCAACTCTGAGCAATGAAGAGTGGAAGGGAATGAAAAATTTGAGAATACCCAGTGGCTCTCCATGGACAGCATGGGGATGAATGCAGGCTACAGTTTTGAGAGCTGCTGAATACTAATTAATGGAAAGCAAAGCCTCCAAGAACCTGTGGTATTTATGGGTCAATGCTACTAACAGAAAACAGGCCTGAAATCCTCTTCTAAATTTCTTTGTCAACTACAAGGGAGGTTTTTTTCTTGCTTGGTTTTAATTGTCAGTGTCAACAAAGCTCTCAAAGAGCGTGAAGAAGACTGCAGAAATTCATCTGGTAGCATAACCTCACAAATGTTGAGGTAAACTGACTTTGTAAACAAGTCCTTGTTTTGTTTTTTTCAGATACATTTTTCCTACCCCTCTGTCAGCCCAGGACTGCTGAATCTACAAAGGAATATCTTACACCACTTTAATAACTTTAAGTGTAGCACCAGTCAGCTTCTGAAGTTTTCATATTTTTAAGAAGAAAAAAGAACTCATATCTCATAGCTCTGAAGGTATGTATACTGGAAAAGAATCAATATCACAGCACCTGGCAAAATCCATTATTTAACAGATGCCAGGTACACATCTTGGTTGCTAACAAAAAGAATGCATTTTTGGTGAATATTTTTTATTAGATGCACACTAGCTGACATTATTTCTGATGTTAATCCAAGATTCTCAAAACCAGGTGTTTGTTAGTAGCTAAGATACTAAGTTTATATTTCAGATTCTAAAACACAGCAGCCTCCTATATCCTATACATTTATCTTCTCTGTATCCAAGAACTGTACCTTCTCCTGAAATTTTGAGCCTTTGTTCTTCATCTGGAGGTTTGGGCGGAGGCCACGCAGATGGAATTCTCCTTGGAAAGCTTCCTTCAACATAATCTGTTGAATGTGTGGGTTGGCTAACTGCAGCCCAAGTATAAAGCTGGTCTTGCTGTGATTTAAGAAAAAAAACAGTGGAAAAGTTCATATAGAAAGACAAGGTCAAAATATCTAAGCTTTTGTTTCCAGTACAAATAACTCAACAGCCCCTGTATTAAGACAGACTTGGTTTTATGCTCTTCAGTCTGATAAAGACTTAAGATAAATGTATATTAAAATAAGTATGTTCATTAACAACAGAAAATTAGGCTTTTTGTTTTCTACAACCCAACAACATGTTAAGATACAGTTCAGCACTTTTTGAGTGAGGAACTCTTTGTGACTTCTGTTCTTACAGCAATAACACGTTCTCTCCATCATGACTGCACTTCATCACATACAGCCAGTTTTATGGCTTGGAGGGAAATATCTCTCTCCACATCATACATAATCATTTTACACCAAACACACAAGGAAGGAAAATGAACAGAATTATTTCAGCAGTAATTAAACTGATATATGCACTCTTTGCAGCCCTATTTTTATAATTTCTATTTTACTATTTTCAGAAAAACAGGTAAAAAGGTGGATTTTCTTTTGGAGTAAAAAGAAAAAAACCCCAAACCAACAGCTAAAGGTATTCTTAGTCCTCTGAGCTCAAATCAGATTATATCCATATTGCTCAACAGCTTTGAGTTTGAGTCTATGATTAAAAGTAGGACACAGAGAGTTTCTGATGAAAACTAGGGCAAACTTATGATTTAAGCTAACAGCAAGATTTTAGATGACCACAATTCAAGCAGTTATTCTTGTGACTCCTAGTCTGCATCAACATGCACACCTTGTGATCAAACATTTATAATACTGTTAATTCTATAGAGATCATTCACAGCAATTGCACAAGTAACCTAGCAAGTGATCTGGAAGATGCAAATGCAGCACAAAACTAGAAAAAAAATACCAAATCACAGGATGAAAACACAGTCATATCACAGTAATACCTTCTTACAAAGATGATGTTCATTAGACTTCATTCATTCTACTGCCTGAGTAAAAGCTGGTACACATTTCATTTTTAGATTAAAACTTTTTTTTTTTTTTTTAATTTGACAGATAATGAACTTTGAAGAGAAATGCAGGAGTAAGAAGAAAATGGTGCTTGGTTTTGGGATAATCACTATTCTATGTGACTAAATTTCTACTTGCCTAAAAATAAATTGTTGTAAGAGTAAAAATGTTCTATTGGGAGCAGCTTACTTGGAACAGACAAATGCTGGTAATAAGGGAAAAACCTCTGGTTTACAGAGGGTGCCTCAGTCAGGGTCAAAGGAAGCTCATTAGACCTTCCCAGTACGAAAACCATGGCAAAAATCCAGGCATGTACATTGACTTTAGATAAAGGTAAAAATAAATGGAGAAAAAGCTTAATAAAAAAAATAATATCAGTTTCTTTACATACCCTGAAGTCCATTACCCTTGAAAAGCCCATCCATTAGAGTAGCATTACTATCCTACTCTATTTGGACATCTGAAAAGGCTTGATTAATTCAGTCCTTTGAGTCACTTAATTCTTTCCCTTTGTCTATTTCCAGCTTTTTAGAGGATATGTGTTTCTGAGTTTCTGCCCAATTTCCAATACTGTTTAAGTAAGGAGAGGGAGTCCTACCTGTACATGTTGTGTGAAGAAAAAGTCCTGGATTTTGCTATTAGTCATGTTTCCGCACCATTTAAATCTCAATTAAAAACACAGAGGAAAATAAGACTTGAAAAGTAATTGAGAAAAACCAGAACAATTTTTTTCTTGCCCATTCTACCACCTTTTACAGTCCAGGGAACACAGGGAAGAACGTGCTCTGCACAGGGTTAACTGACTAAGCACAGATGACTTTCAACAGGACTACATGTAGGGTTGTAGGGCAGTAAAACAAATGACAATTAGGTAATGTTGACATAACATAAATGAGGAGGACAAACAGTTAAACTGTTCCTGGACATGACATTTCACTATTCCAATTCTTGAAAGATATAATAATTTATCAACAGATTCTTGAAATAAGATTAGTCTACATGAATCAAGATGTATTTAAAAAAAAAAAAGAAAGAAAAGCTCAGAATTATTGTACAGATGGTATACATTATGAAGCTAAGAAAATATGAAGTACCTATGTTCTTGCTGATATAATTTACAGCATATAAAATATAAGCAGTTATAAATTAAAACATCACACAACTTGGTAAAAAACTCTTAATCCATCATGGAAGCTTTGTTTGTGAGTATAAAAGACAGTATTTATTGTTTGCATTGCATTTGAGGGGGATTTCTTTGTTTTCTATTCAATACAGAGAAGGACATTAGAATAGACACCTCATATGATGGAGATTTATAGATGTAAATGTAGATTTTTAAAAATGCTATGGACTTGCACTATAATGAAAGCATATCCATATAAACAAGGTATTTAACAATAACTACCTTCAGATTACTTGCAAGCTTATAAATGCTATTTAAAATATGAAAAACCCTCATGCCCTCATGACAGAAAGATAGTCTGGATGGCAAATTAATAGTCCATAAATTACACTTTAAAAGGGAAAACATTAACCCAGTCTCTACTTTCATGCCCTTCAAAAGATGCAAATCATTTTAATATCCTAATTCCTACGTACTGAAGCTATGGTCCAAAACCATTTATGTTTTGTCTTTAGCTCCTTTTCAGTTAATATACTAACCCACCTAATTTCTCCTCTTTTAAATCTGATAATGCCATAAATATGCATGATTTTTAGAACTGTTTGAAGAAAGAAATACGCAGTTCTGTGATGCTAAAGTCCTGTTCTAGCAAAAAAACCCAAAATAATCCAAATTAAAAAAAAATCCAATTTGTTTTTAGTATTAATGATTACAAAGCAATCATCCATGAACCTAGATTTCCACATTAAAATTTTTCTCCTTTAATCTTTTTATTTCAGAGGCAATTTTTACTAAATATCATTGTACATACAGTCAGTGAATACACTTACCGTGATCAAGTTTTGGATACATCTGGAATTTCCCCTTCACCTTGCTCAGAATCCACTATTTAGTCTTTAAAGAATCTCTTTTGAGGGAAAAAAAAATCACATACATGTCCTAGTAATAAATGATCCCAGTCTTATTTATTCAGGCTCATATCTGAAAGCTTCAAGCTGTCTGAGTCCAGTGCACTAAACATGATGTCAAGAAGAGTTCTTGTTTCCACACATCCTTACACAGCACTTTCCACTGGTTCTTAAAAGTGCAGAGCATCTGCACATGGGCGAGGCAAACTGCCTGCAGGATCTGATGGTACCTAATCAATATACATTTTACCACTTATAGATGCTAGCACTTAGAATCACAGAGTCAGGTCTGTAGTTTAACTCACTCTCTTCCCAGACAGTTCTCAGTATGCACAGAGGAGGGCTTTTTGTTATAACTTTTAATTCTCTGGTACCACAGTTTTACACTTCAACTGTGTAACAAATTAATAGCAAATATTCACTTCACCGCTCGAGCTGGAGATTCTTTCTGGCTCATCTTTAAAAATGGAAATGAATGTTGGAAGCTACTCAAAGAAAGGCCCCTAGCTAACGCCATGTGGCTGGTCAACCCAAAAGTAGGGCCATGAGTTAGACCTGCAGCAAACATCAGAAGTCATTCTGGTGGGCCTGGACCTTTCAGAAAAAGGGTCACATGTTTTTCTCACAGAGAGACCAGTTTTGTTCCCTGGGCCACAGACTGAATTACAGATTAGTATATCCCTCACTGCAGGAATATAATATGCAACATTGAATGCATGCTATATTGCTCCTGGAGATATGCAGGTAGTACAACCATCTGCTCAATGTCGTTTCAGTTTTTAATCAGCTGTTTATCTGCTTCCAGCTCAAAGAACAAAAACAGCCACTGTGAGAAAGGCTTAAAAGATGTATAGGAGATGGGGTTGAAACAGCAATAGGTGTATGCACCTTCACCCCACATGGCTGCAAAAGCATGAAATAGCAATGTGAGGATCAAGGGGGAAAAAAATCTTACCAGATGTATTTAGAAAATTCTCAAGGAAAAAAGCCAAAGCAAAGTCAAGGTGGGAAAGGTGAGGCAGTACAGCAGCACAATACTGCTAGTATTGGGTAGCAGTAGAGGGAGAAAGTATTTTATCAGTACCTCTGAACTTTCTTACATGACGGTGCAATGGTACTAATGTGCCTGATGGTTACTGTATTGAGCTGTGAGGTAATAGGGCTCTATTTTGCAGAACTTTTTTTTTTTAATAATAAACTTGAAAATTTTTTCACTAGAAGTATAAACATTCAGAGTTATCCTGAAAAGGGAAGAACAGTAGCGTTGGCATGTTCTGAGGCAAATATCAATGGGCCAGGAGTAAACACAGAGCAGAGATTACGAGAAGGTTCCTACTCATCAGGTCATTCTGGATTATATTCTTTCACTGGGAAGAAGTTAAGAACTAAGAGAGGAAAAAGTATAACTGCATTTAAGATGTAATGAGATGAACTCATAGAGGAATTCCATTTTATGTTATTTGGGATAAGAAGGGACCAGACTCCACGTCTCAGAGGTGTTTTCCAGGCTAAGAGCTCCAAAGAGTTTGTCCAAATTTGTAAATAATTTCTTGGCATTTAGTCTGCTTCAAGTGTGTGGAAGGAATTAATTTTTTCCCATTCAGGAGGTTTAATCATTCTAGTATAGTAAGCAGACAGCCTCTAAAATGAAAGAAAGTCAACTGCATGTTCTCCACTGCATACAAAGAGTTAATTGCAGAAGCAAGGCTTTAGTTTGAGAAACTAGAGCCAGACTACCTCAAAATGCTCTTATCAGCAGGAGACTGCTTTATTTTAAGCAGCTTTTTAAATAAAGAAATCAATACTTTTAAGAATGGGGAAAGTGGTTTACTTTTTGAGGACAGGTTCAGTAACAAAGCTCTGTCTTGCCACTGACAGAACCAGAGCAGTGATTAAACATGGCCCTTGACTTGTGCTGCCCTGGGCTGCACTAGTGAGCACAGATGCTTTCCAAGGTTGAAAGCCAGCAAGTCC